TCTTTTGAGTGAAACGTGGAACGAGGCTGTTTCTCATAAACATTGTCTTCGTAAGATTCAGCTGTAGTCCTATCTTTCCACACTCACAGTCGAAGTTGGCCAGCATTTGTGCCGCTTGGCTGATGTTTGGTGTTATTAAAACAATGTCATCAGCAAAGCGGAGGCGGTGTAGTTGCCGACCATCTATCTTCACTCCAATTTCTTCCCATTCCAGTCGTTGCATGATGTTCTCGAGGGTGGCACTGAAGAGTTTCGGTGAAATGGTATCACCCTGCCGAACCCCTCTCTTGACATCAATGATTACTTCTTTGTAGAATGATGAGATCCTGGTAGTGAATCCGTAATACAGCTCACGGAGGCTCTTGATGTATTGAGCTTGAATGCCCTGATTGGCTAGGGCTTCAATGGCACTTCCGTCTCAACAGAATCAAAGGCCTTCTTTAAATCAATGAATGTTAGACAGAGCGGCATCTTGAACTCCCGAGAAACCTCAATGAGCTTGGTTATCGTGTGGATATGGTCGATGGTGCTGAATCCTTTGCAGAACCCGGCTTGCTTGCATGGTTGTCCTTCATCTAGTGTTCTGCCAATCCTATTTAGGATGACTCAAGTGAACAACTTGTAGATGACAGACAATAGGCAGATCCGGCGATAGTTGCCAATGTCATGGATGTCTCCCTTCTTGAACAGTAGTACAGTCCTGCTGGTTTTTCCATTGGGACGGAACCTTGCATTCAGACAGGTAGCGTGTGAAGAGCTGAGCCAGCGTATTGATGAGTACTGATGGCAGGTTCTTCAGGTGTTCAGGTCTGACCTTGTCTGGGCTGGGTGCTGTTCATTTCTTTACTGACGAAATGGCGTGTCGGATTTCGGAAGGGAGAACATTGGGAACGACATATCCATCCTGTGGAATTTGGTATATCGGCAAGTGGACATGGCTATCAAAGAGATTTGAGTAGAAGTCATGGATAATTTTCTCCATTGCCATTCTGGAGGATGTGATAGATCCATCAGGACGTCGGAGGGCAGTCATCTTGGTCTTGTGGTTGGCGAAGGACAGGCGAGCGTTATAAATACTTTTCCCGGCTTCTGCCGCATCTACCAGCACATCTACTCCTCTCTTTGAGGTCTTCCTTGATCGCATCTCTGCACTGCTTTGCGAGCTCGGACGTTAGCTTGCGGTTGCCTGAGGCATGTGCCAAACCACGTTGGCGAATAAGCTCAAGAGTTTTCGAAGATAGGGTTTTTTTTGTGAATATCTCTCGGCATTCCTCACACAATCATGGAAGTGCTAAACCAGTTGATTATATTCCTCATCAATGTCGTCAACAATGGCATCTTCCCATGTTGCCGCAGTAGAGCCAAAGAGCTCCCAGTTGGTGGTCGTTCTGGGAGTTCTCTTTTTAAACTTTGCAGTTTAAAAAGCCATTACTGATTTACTGATTTGCAGTTTAAAAAGCCTTTCTCCCCGCTCTGTGAAGTAGAGTTTTGCACGAAGGAGCTGGTGGTCCAATCCCGTTTGGAATTTTGGGACAACAGCGACATTGGTCAGGCAAAATTGTCGATTGAATATGATGTGGCCTATTTTGTTGTTGAATTGTCCACCGGGAGACTCCCATGTCCAACGTTTAGATTCGGCCTTCTGGAACTGTCAGTTACCATGGATGGTCTTGGTCGACATGATGAACTCAGACAGTCTCTCACCCTGTTTGTTCCATTCTAGGCCATGGGTCCCGATGTGAAGTTCGTTAGCTGATCTTCTCGGTCCTATCTTGGCATTAAAATCACCCACAATGATCTTGTAGAAGGTGTGGTCTTCTTTATAGAACTTCTCCAACTCCATGTAGAACTTCTCAATTTCTCCTTCATCATAATTAGATGTTGGTGCATAAACAACAAAGATAGAAACTGCAGGCAGTGAGCCACATTTATTCAAATGTAAACATCTGATTTGGGTTGTTAGGCATTCGGATGAATCAATGCTCATGGCCAAGTTTGTGTTGACAAGGACACGGACGCCTCCGACACCTCTTTTATCGCATGTTCCGAGGAACAATTCTTCTCCAGTGTCGAAAACGGCATGATGAGATTGGTGTCTTCTTGTCTCGGTCAGACCAATGATGTCATACTTGATCTTTCGCGCTTGTCCCATCAGGTCCTCGATGGATGCATCTGATGCTAGCATACATGCATTGAAAGTGCAGACGATCATTTTGTATTCCTTCATTGTGGCAGCCTAGTTCGGCCTTGAGATTTTTTTTTTTTTTAATTTATTTATTGAATCACTGTGGGAAAGGTTACAAAGCTTTCAGGTTTATGTCTCAGTCATGCAAATATCAAACACATTTCCCTTTACCAATACTTATTTTTTCCCATGAAGAACCCCAATAAAACCCCACCCCCCACCCCTCCCCGTCCCTGTGAGGCAGATGAATTCTAGTTAACACTCTATCCGCTTTGATTAGATTGTTTCAATAAAAGATTCACCACTATTATTTAGAGTTTACCCCCCCCCCCCCAAATCAGACATGCTGAAAAAGCATTGTGAAGTGATTTGCTTTCTCCAGCTGGGTTCAAGAATTAAATGTTGGTTTTGGATTTCTGCTATTTTACTTATTGACCCTGGAAGTATTTCTACTGAAAGTCAGATAGTTAAGAAATTGGTTTCTGTGTTCTGGAGTCGTGGCCGTGCTGGAGAGCCGCTCGTGGGGGGCAACTGGTGGCCTCGGTAGGGCGTGAAGGGCGGAGCGAAACGCCCCCCTTCCCATGAGGTTTTAGTCGCCCCCACACTCCCGGCTCATACCTGCTGTCCACAAGGCTCCCATGTGGCCGCCATCTTTCTTTCCAGAGAGGAGAGGGCGAATGGGGCAACACCCTTTCCCCTCCGGCAGACTTGATGGGCTGGATCAATGCATAGTCCATTCACTTTTCTGCTCCAAGCTGCTGGGTTCTGCATTAAGTCCTTGTGCTTCTGGGGCCATGGCCGTGCTGGAGAGCCGCTCGTGGGGGGCAACTGGTGACCTCGGTAGGGCGTGAAGGACGGACCGGAACGCCCCCCGACCCATGAGGTTTTAGTCGCCCCCACTCCCCCGGCTCATACCTGCTGTCCACAAGGCTCCCATGTGGCCGCCATCTTTCTTTCCAGAGAGGAGAGGGCGAATGGGGCAACACCCTTTCCCCTCCGGCAGACTTGATGGCCTGGATCAATGCATAGTCCGTTCACTTTTCTGCTCCAAGCTGCTGGGTTCTGCATTAAGTCCTTGTGCTTCTGGGGCCGTGGCTGTGCTGGAGAGCCGCTCGTGGGGGGCGGCCTTGAGATTTTATCGGCCTCTCCTTTCTCATCCTTCTCAATGCTGCCATATTGGTGAAGTCTTCAGGGTCAGGGGAATGAGACCCATTGTAGTTACTGGATTTGGCATATCAAATACACAACAGATAACTTGCGAGGCTCTGCCATGCGGGCGGAATACTCTCGGTAGCTTGCCAGGCTTTCCGAGAGGAATAGAGGCTCTTGGGGCAACCTCTAATCGCCCTTGTAGGTGTTACCATATTTGAACCCTATCAAATGTGGTACGGCAATTCCGGAAGATGGGTATTTAATGTCTTATAATCTGTCCCTGAGTCCGTTGAGCCTGGAGTCCAAGGTCTCAGAGTTCCGCTTATCTTGTTCTGTGGGGCTTCAGTTGTGCATGAGTCTCAAGTGGAGCAGCCACGTGGTCCAGAAAGCATCCTGGAGTGTGGCGAAAGCTGGGTAGTGGAGATAGTGTCGGATGTGAGGGCGATCTGGCTGCGACATCTGTCACCCCATTGATCACCAGGGTTGATTCGGCTGATCTGGCTGGCTAGGCGGGTGTCCCCTTCCTCCCTCACTGCTCCATGTGCGTCCCTTCCAAAGCTGCGTGCTTGGTCGAAGAGGACGGCCTTCCCCGAATAGAGACGGACGGTCTTCGGTCGAGGGTATACGAGTAGCTGCACTCCCCTGCTAGAACCTCCAAACAAGCAAAATGAGTTAAATCTAAAATTTAAATCTCAAATTAATCTAAAATTTAATGCCACTGACTAGTTTTTCACTCCAAATATCCAGTCTTAATGCACAAATCAAGAGATAAAAAGGGTATATAGCAGAAAATAGCTTTAGACATGCTTTTAAAGTCCATTCTTAAACAAATGCCTTCCTCAGGTTTTGTATTTTTTTTTGCTTTTTTTTTTTTTTTTTTTTTTTTTGCTTTTTGGGTCACACCCGGTGATGCACAAAGGTTACTCCTGGCTCTGCGCTCAGGAATTACCCACTGCGGTGCTCAGGGGACCATATGGTATACCGGGGATCGAACCCAGGTTGGTCGCATGCAAGGCAAGTGCCCTACCGGCTATGCTATTGCTCCAGCCCCACGTTTTGTTTTTTCTTTGTGTATGTATTTAATGTTTACATTTGTATTTTCCTCCAATCAAGACAGAGGAAACTTGTGGAAAAAAATTCTATTTAATCTGTGTAGCTAACAACTTATTTATCAATGCTTGTTTATTTCAATCATTGGCCTATATTTTTTAAATTATTGGCATCGTAAAGATAGAGTAATTTTTGTTTCTTACAAGACCAAACCCAGCAAGGTTCAGTGGCTACTTCTGGCCCAGTGCCTGGGAGTTGCTTCGGGTGGTGCTCTGGAGACTATGTTATTCTGGGGATTGATCCCAGGCTTCCTGCACACCAAACATGTGCTCCAGCCTGTCAAGCTATTTCTTCACCCTATAAAATAAATGTTTTATAACTATTACATATTATTGTCAAACTTCTTCAGAGTATGCCTGGAACTTAGAATAATACCAAATGAAGGGTTTAACATCCAATTAGAGAATTTAGAAACTTTTTTGTAATAGGCATTTTATTGAGCTATTGTACATTTAAAACTTAATTTTAAATACTTACTATCATTTGTTAGTAGCTTTCACATCTTAAGATGCTTCAAAGTCCATAATTTCCTCAACATTTTTGTTGCTTTCAGAAGCTTCCAGTTAAGTGAAGAAGACCACTGGATCTTCCAGGTGATTTTGAATCAATATCCTGGGGATCTCTGTGGCAGGAGGACCCTATATCTGGACATGTTGCAAAGATATTTTCCTCACAAATCCAGGCATGATTTGGTGAGTGCTGGACCTTATATACTGACAAATTAAATGTTTTATTTAATAATCATTAAGCAAAATACATTTTAAATGACTTGCTAAAATAATTTTCCTGTACCCTTGAAAATGGCAAGGCTATGAGTTGGATGTCTTATCACTTTTGGAAGTCTGGAAAGTCTGTAACATGGGAAACCTCTTTAGCAGCATTTGCTCCCCTGTGCTTCCTTACCCCGGAGAGTTTGCCTGTTACTCTCTGCTGGGTTTATCCCCAGGTGTCTAAACCTTCACTGCCTACCTGCCAAGTTTCTGCCACTTCTCAGGCTTAACCAAGAGTTGGATGCCTGCCCTTCCATCCACACTCCTCCTTGGATGTACCTCTTTGAATACCAGGGAAGCTGACACTGTCTTACCTCTGCCACACTTAATCTGCCACACTAAAACCTCTGACAGCCACACTTAATCCCCCAGGAAGGCCTCAAGGACAAATATCTAAACCCAGTACTCAAGAGTCATGACTACAATGTCCTTGACAAGGGTGTGGGAAATTGCTGTATTCTTTAATCAACATAATCACTAAGACAAAAGAGAGAAGTTACCATGCCCCAAGTTTTGTAAAACTTCACCTTAAAATATAGCAAGTAAACAAATCCAACTTTTAAATGAGTCATAGTATAAATGTTATGACATGCTGCAACTTTGTGACTACCTATCTAATTTGCCAGTCATACGTATAATTCCGACCTGGGCCGGTTCACCCCTCCTTAGGCAACCTGGTGGTCCTCCGCTCCCGGAGGGTCACCATATTGATGCCGAACTTAGTGCGGACACCTGATCGGCATAGCGCACTATAGCTCAGAACTCCTGGACTCAAGTGATCCTCGTGCCTCAGCCTCCCGAGTAGCTGGGACTACAGGCGCGCGCCACCACGCCTGGCCGGAGCGATAGCACAGCGGGTAGGGCGTTCGCCTTACAAGCGGCCAACATGGCCAACCCGAGTTCGATTCCTCCGCCCCTCTCGGAGAGCCCGGCAAGCTACCGAGAGTATTCGATATGCCAGACACAGTAACAACAAAGTCTCCAATGGAGACGTTACTGGGCCCGCTCGAGCAAATCGACGATCAACGGGAGGGCCTTTACCTTACCTTACCTTACGTATAATTCCACAAATAAAATAGTTGAAAGAAGTGTTCCTGTTATCCTTTTATTTTTTCAGAAGATGAAGGAATTAAAAGTTACCTATTTAATTTGACCATCATCTCCTATCCTCTTTCCCCAAAACCAACAATTATTTGTCTTCATCCTGGTCTTTATTTTCAAAAGATTTGTTCATATTATTTTAAAAAATAATCACCTCTAATTTTTATCTGAATTTCTTTAATTGGACATCTTTCCCCTTACATTTTAGACTATATTTGGCAGTGTTCAGGTTACCATGCAGTGCCAGGAGTCAAATAGCAGTTCCTGATTGTAAATCATTGTGCTCCAACCCTTCTCACTATCTTCCCTGTCTATCTAGTTCTTTGCTTTTATTCCCTGATGATTCTCTCTCTCTCTCTCTCTCTCTCTCTCTCTCTCTCTCTCTCTCTCTCTCTCTCTCTCTTTCCCTCTCTCTGTATGTGTGTGTGTATGTGTGTTGAGGGAATTGAATCCAGAACCTCACAAATGCATATACATGTTGATTCTATTTGCTTTTGTGACCAGCTATCATTTTTCCTTATAGACTTTTGGTTTTGCATACTATAAGCTTACATTTACTTCTTTTTACGGTAGGGGGGATTGTTTGATCTACACCTCACGGTGCTCAGTGCTTATCTGCTTCTCTGTGCTCAGATACCACTCCTGGAAATGTTTAGAAGAGCACAAGCTGTTCTGGGGATTGAACTTACCCCTCTACTGTCTATCCAGCCCCTACATTTATCTCTAACATTGGGTTAGTTAGTATGTGTTTTTTCATGTCATATTTTAGTTTCTTAGTGTTTGACAAGTTCTAAGTATATTTTTGTGTGTTTTGGAAGACAGTTAAAAGATAAAGATTTACAAAACATATTCTAGTAGCTTACATTTGCCTTAATCACAGCCTTGGCTGTTAGATTGTGTGTCTAATTAGCACACATAAAGTATTCTTTTAGCAGGGCATAGCCTGCCCTACTAGATACCTAGCTACTTAGCAATGTATTATGATTGTAGACATTTCTGGTTCTCTGTACCTGAATTTTCTTTTTCTTTTCTCTTCTTTCTTTTTCTTTTATTGAGTTACCTTGAGATACATAGTTACAAAGTTGTACATGATTGGGTTTCTGTCATACAATGTTCCAATACCCATTCCTTCACTGGTGTACATTTCCCACCACCAATGACCAATGTCCCTCATTTCCATTCCATCCCTCCCCACCCCCCTCCAGCCCACCCTCCTCCAGCTTAACTCTATGACCAGCACTTTTCTTCTTTCTCTTATTCTCTTTCTTTCTCTTTCCTTTTGGAAAGAGCTGGAGCGATAGCACAGCGGTAGGGCGTTTGCCTTGCACGCAGCCAACATGGCCGACCCGAGTTCGATTCCTCCGCCCCTCTCGGAGAGCCCGGCAAGCTACCGAGAGTATTTGATATGCCAGACACAGTAACAACAAAGTCTCCAATGGAGACGTTACTGGGCCCGCTCGAGCAAATCGATGAACAACGGGAGGGCCTTTACCTTAGGGCCTTTTACCTCTTTCCTTTTGTGCATTATGATTTTCAATACAGGTACTAAAAGGTTAGCATCTTTGTACCTTTACCTACTTTCAGCACTCAGTGTCCAGGGGTTTCACTTACTTCTTGGCACAATAGCCTGAATTTTTGGCAGGTTAATTTCTCAGTGAACTTGGTCGCAAGATTATGGAGTTCACCACCAGAGGCCTGGTGGTGATATTGGAGTGTGAAGCGATTGGCAGCTGAAGTTCTGTTTGGGTGGGCACTGGGCTGATCTGCACTGCTCTGGTGTGCCCCGGATGTCTCAGCCATAAGTGGTTGTCCAAATACTTCGGTAACTGGTTGATCTCTTTTAAGATTTATTAATGAGTCTCTGGAGCAGAGCCAGTAGATGAGCTTACATGATGGCACCAGAGGTGGTTCATGGGCATTACTGCTGGTGTTTCTGGTTGTACAGGGAGGTGGGAAAGGGTAACCCATCCAGACTTTAATAATCCTGGTGATTTCAGTAACAAAGACAGGCATATCTAAATTTTTTGGCAGTTTATTTTCTCGATGAACTCAGTCCCAAGATAATGAAGTCTGGCCAGAGGCATGGTGTTAATTTTCGAGTTTCCAGGACAACATTTGGTTCCAACACACTTCCGTTCTCTATTCTCTTCCTGGTATTCCCTCCACCCCTACCCAGAACTACAAAAAGCTGCACAGGAACTTGGTCGTGTGTTGGGAGTGTGTATGAGGCTCCTGAGGCCAGTGGAGGGCAAGACATGCACATGCACTGGGCTGGAGTTTTCACATGCTTCCATATGAGAGTTTTCTACTCATATTTTTTTCACACATCTTTTTGCCTATTTTGTGTTGTTTGTTATTTTGTTATATGAGTACTCTACATGTGAAAGAAAAATTTGCTTAAACATTTAGGGTTGAATAATATCAATAAATTCTGAGACATGGCCTTAACGGTAAAGGTAAAGGCCCTCCCATTGATCATCGATTTGCTCGAGCGGGCCCAGTAACGTCTCCATTGGAGACTTTGTTGTTACTGTGTTTGGCATATCGAATACGTCACGGGGAGCTTGCCAGGCTCTGCCGTGCGGGCGAGAGACTCTCGGTAGCTTGCTGGGCTCTCTGAGAGGGGCGGAGGAATAGAACTCGGGTCAGCCATGTTGGCTGCGTGCAAGGCAAACGCCCTACCGCTGTGCTATAACTATATTGTAATTGACTCAAAACTTCAAGGGTACATATTTGTATAAGTAGCATTTTGGATCACCTAGAAAGATTTTCCAGGCCCTCTCAATTCCTATTGCCCCTTTCCAGATCCTGGGGTTTCCTATGGGAAATTCCTTGTCTACAGGAACCACTGGGACCCATATGAGAATGTCATGTCCCTCAGATACTTGGGTTGGTACAAAAGAAAATGCCACTACTATACCCACTCTAAGTTTAGACGTTTTAACATTTAAATGTTTTAGTACCCAAGGCCCAAACTGACTTTTCAGGGTTACCATAACATCTTTTAATGATTATCAGGAGATACTTAACTGAAGTTCTTGAAGTAAATATTGAAACGCCAAATCTGATTCAAAGAGAGAGTATTTTGAAAATTGTATGTAGGGTCAGTAATGTTTTCTAGTCATAGGATTGCTGCCTTTAGAAATGGCACTTACTTCAGGATTGCCTGTCAGACTCTAACCTATATGGGAGTAGATATTGAATGACTGGGCCTAAACTCAACTCTCTGAGGCTTGCATATACTAATGATTTGTCTCCAACTTTTAAAAATTACTGGTTTTAACACATATATTTACTTTTCACAATGTCACTGTCTCTAGTCGCACTTCCATTTAAGTGTTCATATGTTCTTTTCAGGTTGAACATGAGAAACATTGTGACAGATACCGCTTTGCAAGGGAACAGAGAAGAATCCTGATTTTCAATTGGAACAAGAACAGGAGAGACTTTGTCCAGAAGGCTGTGCTGACACTTGCAGAGGCTTGTGCGACTCATGAAATGGAGAGCACATTAGCCAAGGACAGAAAAAGGCAACAGGAACTCTGTGCTGATCTGAAAGCCAAGGTAAGACGATTGTAAAAAGTGTTGCACATTTGGCTGTGTACTCATTGAATAACCCATATTTCCCTTTGGTTCAAACCCAACCAAAAAGTTCAGCTACACACACAAACACATACACACACACATACACACACACATGCATACATGCACTTTTACACCTCTTGAATAAAATGAAATTGAAATTACAGTTCTTTTAGGTCCAGGTAGTCATCAATTTCCTATAGAGGGCTGGAGATTTAGCACAGTAGGCATAGTGCTTACCTTGCACGTGCCTTTCCCTGGTTCTGTTCCTACCATATATATTTTCCGAAGCCCTGTCAGGAGTAATCCTTGAGCATAGACTCAGGAGTAAGCCATGAGCACTGCTAGTTATGGTTTTGGTTTTTTGAATTTTTGTTTTGAGGCCACACCCAGTAATACTCAAGGCTTACACCTGGCTTAGCACTCAGTAATCACTCCTGATGGTGCTCAGGGGAACTTGTGGGATGCTGGAGATCAATCCCAGGTCAGCTGCATGCAAAACAAATGCCGTACCTGCTATGCTCTCACTCCAGCCCCAAGCACTGCTAGTTATGGCCAAAGACCAAAGTAATTTCCTGTAGGTCAACCTAAAGTTACTATAACAGAGTGGATATAACATTTTTTGTTTATTATGACTTTTTTGTGTGTGTGGAATTTCCATTCAAGTTTTACCTTGTCTGTACTTTATCTTTCACTTTCTTAACATTGTGTTTTAATAAACAAAATCTAATTTAAATTAGGTGTTGTTTTAATTTGATCTTTAAGTGTCTTTGCAATAGAAAAAACTATTTTTTTTTTGTTGTTCAGTTCTACAAGTTTTGGCAATCAACCCACAATCAACATATAGAATTGTTCTATCATCTCTTAAAATGCCCTTTTGTAATCAATTCTTCATCCAACTCTAGTTGTCACAATGACTTGATCTCTGTCCCTCTGGTTTGCCTACTGTAGAATCTTATAAAAATGTAACGAGACATTATGTAGATGACATTTGACTCTGATGGTTTTTCCATAGCATAATGCATTTGGGACACGTGTTGTATGCATAAGAGTCTGTTCTATTTTATTGCTGAGGTAGTACTCTAAGATGTAGATTTATCACAGTTAATCTATTCCTCAGAGAGTGGCCACTCTTGTTCCTTCCCCTCCAGTAGATTCTTACTTGACAAATGCAAACCTGATAAAGAGACACTCTGCTTTTTTGGTTCAACCTCAGTCTCAGGCAAGACCTATGTCCCAGGGTCTTTTTTTTAAAAATTTTTATTTATTTTTGCTTTTTAAAAAAAAATTATCTATGTATTTATTTTGAATACCCATCCCTCCACCAGTGACCGTTCCCGACCACCTTGGATCCTAGTATCCCTCCCATCTCCCACCCTCCACCCCATCCCACCCTGCCTCTGTGGCATGGCATTCCCTTTTGTTCTCTTTCTCCCATTGGGTGTTGTGGCCTGTATAAGAGTTAAGCCTGGTTTTCAGGGAGAAAACGTTGGATGATTTACTTTCCATTGATCACCTTGCATATAGGGAGATGGTTTGGAGTAAAAGTCCTGGTTCCTGCATACTCGAGCTATGCTTGTAGAGGCTCATGGTCACCAGGGTTTCATCTGGAGGAGGCAGGATGCGGCACCTACCCCATCTGGGACTTCCCGGTGATCTCGGCTCTCTTTGGGACCTGGTGCATTCTCCGGGAGCTGTGGAGCCCCCCTCTCCCCCCCCCCCCCGCCGCCTTTCTTCTCTGTGGCTGTGTGCTGTAAAGATGGCTGTCCCAGGGTCTTAACCCACTCAAAGCTCCTGCCCCCAAGGCACACAGACTTTACTTTGGATTTGGGTGGTTCTGGTGTGGAAGGGAGCTTACAATCCTTTCTTCAGGAGAAAAAGGGTTCTTTGTTTCTGTTTCCTAATTGAAGTGGATCTATACTTGTGTTCTAGCAAATTGCTGTTATCTTTCCTCATTCTCAGTAGTTTTGGTTCTTAGTATTTAATCTTTTCTTGCATGTCTGTAGTACCATAGGCAGTTCCTTCGCTTACATATGCTGACCCAACTTCCTTAGGAGAATTCTGTTAGGTTTTTGCAGAAAAGACTCTGAGGGGGAGTCAGTTCCCTTACGTAGGGCTTCTACCAATTCATGTTCATAGTGTGCCATAGCAGCCAATTTATAAAATTCAGTTATTAATTCATTACAGGATTTATTTGTGGCCTTACTCACTTCTAAGGCGATCTTGTCTTCTCTAGGTGCTCTACCTTAGGTCATCCAGTTCTTAGATTGCTTCTCTCTTAAATCTATCTTAAAACAATTTTTTGTTTGTAGTATCATTCCATACAATGTTATCTTCAGGTGCATATTATTATAAGTTAGCATTTGCATGTTAGATACATCTAAAAGCCTGATTCTATCATTCACTATACAGTTGATTCCTTTATCTCATTAACCTGCTTCTGTTCCCCCAATGCTTCTGGTAATCACTAATTTGGCTTATAATCTGATCCTTTTGTTTTATTTTGAATATTTTTGCCTACTACTTTGCTTTTATTAAAAATGAGAAAACAAATGAATGAGATTTGCACCACTGTAGTGAAATCATATGGCCTTTGTCTTTCTTTGTCTCACTTATTTCACCAGCATAAAATCCTATAGGTTTATCTATGCTGTTAAAAATGAGTTCAAAATTAAAATAAAATAAAAATGATTTTACTTTATTTTATTTTAAAAGAATAGATGAACCAGTGATAGGTTCATCTATTCTTTTAAAACTGAGTAGTTTGGAGCCAGAGAGATAATGTAGTGGGTAAGGCACTTGCCTTGCAAACAGCCAACCTAGATTGGATTCCTGACAGCTCATATGGTCCCCTGAGCATCACCTAATATGGCCTCAAAACAAATCAAAACAAAACATTAAGAAATAAAACTTAATGGTATTAATTTATATATACATACCACATTTTTTTTATCCAGACTTTTATTGTTGGACTGTATTGCTCCAATTCTTGGTTGTTATTGCAACAAAATGGAGTGTATACCTCTCTCAAATTAGTGTTTTTCTATACTTTGGTTAAATTTTTATAAATGGGATAACTAGATCACATGGAATTTCTATTTCTATTTTAATTTTTAACTACTCTCCACACTCTTTTTTTATAGCTATCTCTGCTTAGAAGATCTGGGTGTCAATTCTAAGACTGGAATGCATGCTACATATGCTATAGAAACCTGGGTTTAATCCTGGACATACATGTTCCCTGAGCACCTCCAGCATTTCTGGGTGTGATCCCCAAACCAAAACCAAACAAAGTCCTAAGTTATCTTATTACCTTGTGACCTCTGATCTCTGATGAATTTGTGGTACATGTGGGAGTAGCATTCATTCCAGCTATCTGCATGTTAGCTAGAAATTTGAAGGTCCTAATAAAATAGTATTTATCAAACTTCTATGTGCCTCATTTAAGAAGTTATTGACTAGAAATCATTTTTAGAGGCATCTTGCTCAAAAAATTTTCTGCTTAATGGGACTCCAACTAGAGGTAGGTGGAATTTTCTTGCCCCTTCAAAAAAAGTGAGACGATAATGAGAATATAATAGAGTAAAAGACATAGCTAATCTTATGAAAACGCATATGGCATGTATTGTATCTATGGCACATATTTCCAAAAGCAGTCCAGTTAGTAATTAGGAACCAGCATGAACTCCAGCAAGGTTTACATGGGAGTGATAGGAACCAATCAAGAAAACTCTGTTGTCCTCTCCTGTCTTCCATGTCCATTCTCAATCAACAGACTTCCTTGGTCTAAGCTTCCAGAGAACAAAACCAGATGCCATCTCCTGAATGAGAAGAATTGACAAAGCTTTTGAAAGTGGACAATTTCAATTAGAATCAACCAGATTTTTTTGTTTGGTTTGGGGTTTTTATTATTATTTTAGAACACACCCAAAGCTTTCCAGCTCAGGGTTTATTCCTGGTCTTTGTTCAAGGATCACTGATGGTGGGTCTCCAGAGTCCAGATAGGATTCTGGGGATTGAACCTGAGTTGACCACGTGCAAGGCCAGTGCCCTACCCTTTGTACTATTGCTCTGACCCCCATCAAAGATTTTTTTAATGTAGAAAAATGCCCCAACTTTTGATACAATTCTAGGATTAAAATTATTAAATAAGTGGGCCAGAGTAGTAATACAGCAGGTAGGGCCCTTGCCTCGCATGTGGCTAACTAGGGTTTGATCCCCAGCATCCCATATGGTCCCTCGATCACCACCAGGAATAATTCCTGAGTGCAGAGCCAGGAGTAACCCCTGGGTATCGCCAAAAAAATTAAAATTCAAAAAATAAATTTGTTATATAATAAAGCTCCAATGTGAAAAATCAGTAAATATAAAAAATCAATTTATGTGAAAAAATTTTTTAATCTGATTGTGGGGTTAAGTCCTTGTCTAAGAATTTGTTAAGCTGTTTGTTTCTAGTTGAGCCATATGTGTTATCATTTTTGTTTATTGAGTTTATTTGGCTTCTATATTACTTTCCCATTCCAGCACACACATAATTTGGTGTGCTTCTACTGGAACTTCAGTATTGAGGAAGTAGGAGGTGTCCAGAGACTTCAGGATCTATGGTCTGGGCATTAGTTGGCATGATCAGGAGAGGTTACCCACCAGACTCCAAAAAACATCAGTCTGGGCACTAGGTACCTGAAATTATTCGCACTTTGGCATCACTACAGAGAATATTCATGAAACAGTGGAGTTGAGCCTGTGGCATGACTGCAGAGATGGACTGTGGGTGTGGCTACAGAGGCTTTGGCTGGATGGGTATTCGATCTGTCCTACCTCCTGACAGCACTCAGGAGTTTTCAGCTGTGGGCATCCGTGCTTCAAAGAGCTTTAACTGCTTGGTTTGCATCTCCTGGGATATTTAGTTGGGAATTGGTAGAGCAGGGCCAGTGGGTGAGTCAACATGGCAGCGGCTGTGGGAGATGGGATTTTGTTTTTTA